ACTCGGGATACGCCCAGAGTCACGGAACGGATTAAGTTCATATCCCGAGGTACCACTGTAGCCTGGTCTCAGATGTATCTATTACCAAAGCAAGAGACAGATGGAAACCAGGTCTTCCACCCCATAAAAGAGAGGTATCTAACTGGCTGCATCATTCAAGTGAGAGAAAGAGATACAGAAAGTTGAGCTTTGATTTCATTATAAGTAGGGTTCTTATTTGATACACAGTAGTCACTGGATGGTAATGGTTTCATAACGATATAGATATATAGATATAGATATAATAAACCTACTTCTCTGAGATTTTGTGTCCTTGGAAATTTATTCTTGAAGCTTTTTGTCTTGCCAGCTAGCTATGGTTGTTTCAAATCAGGAAATGCAGCTAAATGAGAAATTTGTCCGTAACAATCATACCACAGTTTGCTATAGCATGACAACAAGCCAATATATTAAGAATGTAAGTTAGTCCTCATTCCAATAGCAGACCTGTAACTCAGTGTGCTCCGCAAGGTGTAAAAGTCGGAGTGCTCAATCATCAACTAGCTGAATGTTTGTAACACTATTTAAGTCATATTTTCCATTCCTAAACAGAAGGCACCCTACTGTCTCATTGTTGCAACGTATCATCTACAGTACTAGATATGGAAAATATTAAAAAGTATCCAAGTCTAACGCTCTTCCCATGCGCAACATGAATGTTGATGACAGAAATTCCTCTAATCTTAGTTAAGAGATTGTATAAAAGAAGGCAAGTTTACTAACTTGATTCCAAGATGAAATGTCAGAAACTGTCCAAAGAAGAACTCATATTAAACAAAACAAATGGAAGCTGTGCTCTGTTGGCTCCTTTATATTCATTTAAAAATTAAAATACAGGATACATTTTTAAAATAAAAAAACAAAAACTTTCCCATTATTTCAATTTCAATATCATTCCATATAATATCAATTCAAGTCTTCCCCTGCTTTGCAAGATGTAGCCAAAATCATACTTCCTATGCACAAACTACATCATTATGAGGATTGCAGATATCAAAAATCTAAGGTGGGGAACAAATGGCAACTGAGTGACAGCAAAGTGGAATGGAGATGTTTGAAAGCAAACAATTGAATCTATCTATCTATCTATCTAGAATATTTTTTTTTTAAATTTTCACTGAAAATATATATTTTAAAAGTCCACAACAATGAAACTGATCTAGAGTGTCTCAAAATAGGCCCCCGCAGGCATGGAACTCGGATTTATTATTGCACAGAA